AATTTTAAATAAGGCTGACATCTGTCATTTTTAGACAACTACCGTAAGTTACACTGACTGCTCTGACACAACATCCGTCCTAACATGTTAACAATGTCATTTTGATCAGTTGTTATCAACAGGTCCTCGTAGACACTTCGTCTCAGGACCATATCACTCATGTAGAGTCATACGCCGCCATGTTACCTATCCAACGGTAACTTAAACATCGCAAATTATAACTACTAATAATGTAAAACAACTACAAATTTAAAACATTTAAAGGGTTTTGACCATCGAGCAAAAAGACAATAGAGGGAATGTAAAGGTAGTGGGGGCAAACATATTGTTAGACAGGAAGTGCGATCTTTAGAGGCCACATTAAACAAGGAAAGAGAGTCTCTCTCCTTGTTTGACATCAAATTTAGTTGGGTTATGTTATTGTTTGTCCCAAATGTCACATGAAATCTTATTTATATTGAAGTTTTTTAACAATTGTGTCGCATTTTAGACTCTTATCGTTAATAATTAATTAAAACTTTCTCGTCTAAGACACATTCTGAAAAATATTATATAGCTACTGTTGATAAGTGTCGGAAAATTTAAATTTGGCGCATTCGCATTTCCGGATATGTCCGCCATCAGAGGCCACTTTTTTGGTCTCCTTTTCATAAGGATTAGATTCCCTCTTTTGTCTTATTGCTCGATGGTTTTGACCCATGTATTTTGGTGGCTACTAGCATGTACAACCGTAAGTATTAACCACATTTTGCTCTAACCTTTGTCAACATTTTAATTTAACGTTCTTTTTAATTAAAGTGGTTATATACTTTCAGGTTTGCACTGATGATGGATTGATTAATCCGAAAACGTTTTGCAATGTGTTTGTGATAGCCCGTTTGGGGCATTTTTATATACCTTTTATAAAGGATTTTAAACAATTTTTTATTAACAGAGGCTCGAAGAGAATAATTTCCGAGATCTTTAAATGGTTAATCAGGAAACCACTTTAATTTTTTATATTGTTCTCTTAGTTCATTGTTTCTGTCTCTCTCATCATACCATGGGCAAAGCTGGGCGGGTCCTGGTAATATGCCAGCGATTCTGAAAGATGACAGACATAACTTCGAGTGAGTAGAATATATCAAAAGCTGCTGAAGAACATAACGTATATGTAGTTTCACGGCTGTCATCAAAGCTCAAGAAAAATTAAAACACTATGTTGGAGTGATTGCTTAGTAAATGAAACTCTTGCAAAAGACTACTAATTTAGAACCGAAAGTAACGAAGAGGAAAAAATACACGCAGAGCCGATTTAATACAGTTTAGACATATTTATAACAGGAACTGGACCCTGGATCTCTTTAATATTGCCAGTATAGCTGCAGGATCCAGAAATTTTATGGAATGGCTAAAACAATAATGTTTTTAAAGCCGGGTAAGGATCTAGACCAGGGTTGTCCAACTGGCGGCCCGCGGGCCACATCCGGCCCGCGAGGCTATTTGTTGTGTCCCACGTAAGAATTTCGAAAAGCATTTATTTTCTTTAAATTCTGCCACTGTGAAAAAAGTTTTTTTAATTTATTTTATATTTTATGGTTTAGCAGTGTTTTTACATCACAAGTACTGTACCGCGTGCCGCTTCGCGGACGTGTAACGAACACAATCGTCCTCCACGTAGGCTAGTCGGCTAATCTATTACGTTGCTAGTGAACAGTGAACTTGATTAATTCTTTGTCTTGATTCCTCTTATACAATAATGAGTGTAAAACCAGTAAAACGGAAAATTGATAGTGAGAACAGAATTTACAAAGAAAGTTGGGAGAGTGATTACTTAATTGATAACAGTAATGGAAAGTTGCAGTGCTTAGTGTGCATGAATGTCGTTTCAGTGCCTAAAGAATATAATGTGAGAAGACATTACACAACAATGCATGAAAATAAGTATGCTACGTACACAAATGAAATTCGGCGTGCCCTAGTTGCAGATTTGAAGAAAAAACTTAAACAGCAAACTGGTATGTTCAGTAAAATATTACACCCTCAAACGTATGAACGAAAAGTTCATATTTCTCACTTTGTTTGGATGAAAGTACTGATCAAACCGATGTTAGTGAGCTGTTAATATTTGTGCGCAGTACTTTTGATAATTTTACCACTAAAGAGGAGTTATTTGATATTTGTCCTCTTTATGGAACAACAAAAGGAAAAGACATCTATGAGGCTGCGAAGAAAACAGTTGACAGAATTGGAGGCTTTGATAAATGTTCAGCCATAGCAACAGACGGGGCCCCATCAATGACAGGTAAAAAAATTGGATTAGTGGGTCTGCTTCGAGAGAATGGTGTCACTTGCCCAACAATTTATTGTATTATACATCAGGGAGCTTTATGTGGAAAATCAGTCAAGGAAGATAAAGTTTTCCAAACCGTGATTAAGATTATAAATATGATTAGAGGTGGAAATCGATCTCTTTTACACAGGCAACATAAGCAGTTTTTGTGGAAACGGAGGCTGAGTATGGAGACTTGCTAATGTACAACCATGTAAGGTGGCTGAGTGCAGGAACTTTCCTGCACTCAGCCACCTTACATGGAACGATTTTTTGTCATAAGAAAGGAAATCCCTGCATTCCTCAACAAATACATTTCATCTGACACAACTGAACTGGAAGAGAAGTTTAAGGATCCAGAATTCTTAAGATAGTTAGCTTTTATAACAGATCTGACTAATCATCTTAACATGTTAAACTTGAGTCTTCAAGGAAGAAACCAGACGGTTTCAAATTTGATCGGAATGATAAAAGGATTCCGGAATAAGCTGAACGTGTTTAAACGTGCTTTGGAAAAGAACAACCTGACACACTTCCCTAGATGTCTGCAAATAGCAGAAGAATTCAACGGTGAGGAAAATATTGAGTTTTCATCCTGCCTTTCACAAATTGAACAAGTTATTGATGAATTCAATACAAGAATTGAAGAAATTGAAAGTCTCAAAAGCAGTGTACTACTTTATAATAATCCTCTTGGAGCAACCATTGATGATCAACCACTAAATTTACAGCTTGAGTTATGTGATCTTCAAGCAGACATGTTCCTAATCACCAAACAAGAAAAGGGACCTGAATGTTTCAAATTACTGTCAAAGGAGAAATTGCCAAACCTGCGAGATTTTGGACTGAAAATGACGTCAATGTTCGGAAGCACATGTACATGTGAAAGTACCTTTTCCTCCATGAAATACATAAAAAATAAAAAAAGAAGCAACCTTACCGATTCTTCCTTACGTCATCTTATGAGAGTGTCTACAACTGAACACTTACCCAAAATCTACCAACCAATCTCTCCCGTATACTATATTTTTGAGGTATACGAAATAATCCTAAATCTCATAGTCGACCAGCATCTCATACCACAAGCTGAGTTCAGATCAGGTAAATCATAAACCATCATACTTCTTAAACTAATAATCTTAACTACATAGCAAAGCTTGCACTCAACATGCGTTGAGATATAAACCCTATCACCCAGATCCTAATCCATTTGACCTTTTTTGGACGTCACTTAATATGTTTGAAGTAAGAACACCACTTATTTATTATCAGATTTACTTAACGTTTAAAATATAAATATTCTAATGCATTTTTATCAAATGACGGTCGATGAGGAACTTAAATTCGCTCTTCGCTCTTTCTATATAATCACTTTCCGTGTAAAGCAGCTTGATTGCCAAATAATGACAGCGTCGACCAATACCCTTATAATGTGACCTTACACGAGCAAATTTATAACTAATGAGTCAAGCAAACTGTAGGTCCAATGTGGAAACGCAAACGGAAGACAAAGAATTGATCTATCTCTGTCTATTCTTAAACCTTGTAATTATTTTTTTGTCACTGTTGTTTTAATATTTTTACTTTCTATGGACGGTGTAAAATATTGTAATATGCTCATTGCAGCAACACTATCTACAAAAAGTGTTTAATATTCACACTGTTTTTAGATTGTATAATTACGTACCTGGTACAAAAACATCATCTTTTTTTTTCATTATCCTCTTACCATGATAAATTACCTAATTAGCTAACACGAGGAGAATTAGAAAAAATATGGTCGTCAGGAGCGTCCGTTAGTTGTGGAATATTCAAATTGACGGTTTATTGCAACAATGTATAATGTTTTATTACAAAAATAAAAATGTTTCTCATAAATTAATCTACATGGTGTAACAGAAAAGTAAAAGTAAGTTGTGCGCACTGGTTCCAATAAAGAATTATCGCCAGTATCAAACTAAAGACACCAAAAGATGATCTCTCTTCTTACTTTTCCATCTCTTTTAAATGTGGTGTGTTTAAAATCATGGAAAAAACTGCAAGTCTTCATCTTATATGACCCTTAGAACAAAATAATCTCACCCTGTTTAATAATGGTTTCCGAAAAGATAGACTCACATAAGATAACCAGCACCTATATTATGTGGATCTCTCTCTCTCTCTCTCTCTCTCTCTCTCTCTCTCTCTCTCTTTCTCTCTCTATTTCTCTCTCTCTCTCTCATGCATATATATATATATATATATATATATATATATATATATATATATATATATATATATATAAAACTAGTTCTTTAAATGATATTTAGTGACAGCAATAATAATTAGAAATCGGTCAGATAACCAAGCGGGCTAGGCGGCCGATTCTCATTCGCTTCACTGTCGAATGGTTCAGTGGATGTGGGTTCGAGCCCCAGCTTGGTGTACAGAAAAATAAAAAGGCTAACGCAGCAGTTTAAAATTCTAGATGAATCTGCGGTTTAGACTGGTATCTGATCGGCCTACGGTGGAGCAGTACCGCAAGAGATAAGGGCTTGCTGCTCGGTGATACTCCTCCATAGATCTCTACCAGAAGGGCGTGGCGCCTAAATAAGGTCGAATAAAGAAGAACTGAAATATAGGAACATTCATATTTAAGATGTATCTATTCATTCCTGACATTGTCCCTTATTATTTTTCTTGTTTTTAGATTAACGAAATCTTAGACACACTTGGACTGTTGGATCATAAGAAAACAATGACAAGCGGGTTGTCGGGAGGCCAAAAGAAGAGATTATCAATCGCCTTAGAATTAGTTAGTAATCCTCCAGTTATGTTTTTCGATGAACCTACTAGTGGATTGGATTCTTCATCATGTTTTCAATGTATATCACTGTTGAAAACCTTAGCTAAAGGTAAGTTAACCCAACATCAATTGAATCACTTCTAATTTGAATTTTTTAAGGTGGAAGAACTATAATATGTACTATTCACCAACCTTCAGCTAGACTGTTTGAAATGTTCGACCAACTTTACACACTCGCTGACGGTCAATGTGTTTACCAAGGTTCCACGTCATTCTTAGTGCCCTTTTTAGCAAGCCTGCAATTACAGTGTCCTTCATACCACAATCCAGCCTCCTATATTATAGAAGTAGCATGTGGAGAATATGGAGACCACACGAGAAAGTTAGTATTACAATTGGCTTTATGTAGAAATATAGAATTTAAATCTGATTAATCTTTTGGTAAATTTTCCGTTTTCTTCAATATACAGCGTTGCTTAATTATTGAAATATTTTGGATGTAAAGCACCAATTTTGGTGTATCTTTGGCCACCATACCACTGATGCATATGTAATTGTGAGTTTTACCACCACTTTGTAAATCTAATATAACATGTTTGGATTTAAACCTCACATTCACGAGTGCGACACTACCATTATGCAGAACCGCCTTCCAGCCTCGGTTTCATTGAATTCTCTCCTCTTTTCCTCCCTGTTAGTGCTTAATATCGCCCCTTCTCATTCTGCCTTACCTTCTTGCTTGCTCATGGTCACACTGCCTCGCTTTGGGTCGCCTTTCTTCTTGTTCCTTTCTCTCCAACGTTCTCCTCACATATCTCTGAATTGCTCTCCACCGATCTGACGACCTAAGCATCCCCTTCACCAGTTCCGTGACTGATTGCACCCTACTTCCTCGCTCTCTTTCAAGCAGACTACTCTCATCTATCCATCTGTCGAGTACCAATAGAGTGTGTGAGACAGTGTCCGATATTTTCCAGTTGTTTATAAAATTGTTCTTTTTCTTCATCTGGCTTCTCCTCAATTTTGTGCATGGGCATTTATTATTGAATATATTATTGATATCTATAACGCTACTATATTTTTTTGTAATACCTCGCTAATAAATCATTGTTTTAAAGGTTGGTTAACGCTATAGAAAATGGTAAGAATGACATCCGAGATGCGAGCCAAATAGTAGGTTTTAAAATGAACGACGGTTTGAATAACGCTTACCAATACGCCAAAGACAACTTGAACACCCTTATTGCTAATGAATTATCCAAAGAGGGCAGTACTCTAAATGGTAATAAAAAATCAAACAATGTTAACGAAGATACTGGAATCGATTCTAAAGATGTCGAAAAAGCTAATGTTGATAGTGCCTTATTAAACACTTCCGTTGTGGTTAATCAGCCCAGATATGGTAATACGGAAATCCAACAATTTTTCATTATTTTAAAACGTGCGTTATTGTTCAGTAGAAGAGATTGGGTAAGTCCATTTTCAAAATATATTGTTAATAGTTGCTTCTTTTAAAATTTGAATATTCTTCATCAAATAAAAAGATGTTGAAGGATAACTCAATCAGAATTTATTTTTAATTGTATGTTGACATTGCATGTTTAAATGTAATAATTATAATTGTATAAATGTAATAATTAGTAGTAATAATTGGTTAAAAAGAAAAATGTCAATTAAGCTATATTTTACCCCAAAATTAGCCTGCCACTTGCTTCTTAAACATATATTTAATACACTGAGAATAACTATAAATTCTTTAGGCATTATCTTTACTTAGACTCTCGCTTATGTATCTCTCAGCATTAACCCTTTAAACGCCGAATCATTAAAACCTAAAGACACGTTTACATGTATCCTGTAGCAGTGCTGGACAGGTAAGTTTACACTATTCAGTAGCTGACACCAGTCTTACTGGCTCGCCAGTTCCTACTGGGCGAAGTCACTCGTTTTCTGTACTCTTTACAGGTACTGCAGCAATTGGAACGATGTGTTTACACGTGTCATCAATCGCTGGCGCGGGGAAGAGTGGACGCGGACAAGAGTCACTTGTAGATAGCGCTGGAATAACCATTGCTGTCATCTCTTCATAAACTTCGTCACCTCTATAACAAAGACCTTATGGAATTATTCACTAAATACTTCTCTCGTGACCCAACTTTTAAATTGGTTCTTGTAGCAGACGGACACAGAAAAGTTTTTGAAAGCTCTGGGATTTTTAGCTTTATCAATGGCTACCAAATCTAATTTGTGTGTTCCAGTATCATTTGAACACGGCATAAATGTGATTCTATTTTTATTTATTTAACGACCTGGTGCGTTTTCTGCTTTTAGAGGATACGAATGTATTGTTAAGTAACAGTGTCCAAAACAAACCATTGTGTTATAGATTTGGTCAGAAAGAAGATGGATTTCTTCTACTTTGACTTTAAAATGATGGATAAATGGCTGCACTGTAGATTCGATTGCTTGACAAACTTTTACCCGATATAGTTAACAGACGTCTGCCACAGCGCTTTTTAAATTTATCATATCACCCTTACAAAACATCATCAAGATTGGAATTATCCCTTTTAATTTGAGCAGGACAAAATACGATGGAAAAAATGAAATAAAGGTTTCAAAGATTCAATTCGCAATTATGAAAAGTATGTGTGTGGCTGGCGATAACATCGTGTACAAAATAAGTGACAGGAATCCTAAGGGCAAACCACTATCCATGCATGATCTGTTAAAGGTCACAAAGGATCTTAACACAACTTTTGTTTATAAACAAAAAAACGAATACCTAACCTTACATTTATTCTAGAACTTTCACTAAATGTATAAGGTTTTTGCGTATCAAAAAACAGAAAAACTAATGATGACTATAACAGATTTATTAGTTTTCATATTTTCTTGTAAAAAATTTATTTGGCGACAAGTAAAAGGGGATTTAGATATTATAGTTGACATAATAATATATGAGGAAAAATAACGGTATTGGTTTTATTATATATGTCTTTTATTAGGTAAAGGGATAATATATCATATTTTATGATAAACTGACGTAATATTTTATTATTTATATTTATTTTTTTTTTAATTTTAATTATTTGTTTAAAAATTTTAAAAATTAAAACTAATAAAAATTGTATTCCAGACTTTGATGTACCTACGTTTATTCGCCCATATTTTGGTTGGATTCCTAATCGGTGCCTTATACTTTAAAATTGGAAACGATGGGTCCAAAGTACTTAGTAATCTTGGTTTCCTGTTTTTCAACATGCTGTTCTTGATGTACACTTCCATGACCATAACCATTTTGTCCTTCCCACTTGAAATGCCAGTTTTGTTAAAGGAACATTTTAATCGATGGTATTCTCTGAGGTCTTACTATCTGGCTATAACGATATCAGATATGCCATTCCAGGTAAGAACAAAATCATTTGTAGTATGTTTTTACTTCTATTAGTACTAGTTATTTAATTGAATGATGTAATATCCGTACAATGTTGTCTAATCTTCATATTAATAGAGCTGGTAGAAGAATTTAAAATTGTGAATATAAGGTACAAGAAATCTTTTATTAAGCCACAGCATAAAGTTAAATGTCTAGCTTTGCCATGAGGTTCTATAAAATTATTAAAACAAATTAGGAATGGCACAAACAATCAAATAAATGTAATTTATACAAATAAACTAAGTTATTAAAGTTAAGAATTAAATAAAAGATTCTACCTACATATATCCTGTTATAAGATTAAAGGTATGCTATGCTATTATTGTGATAAAAAATATTAAAATAAAACTACCAAAGAATACTGAATATTTGTAAAATAATAAAATTTACCCCAAGAAGAGGATGGGCAAATAAAATGTGTATCCAGTCTGAACACGGGTTTATATTGGGAAAAAAAAGTGTACCAGTTTTATATGACGGGAAGGGTACCGCTGTATTTTAAATAAATTTAACTATGGAATTATTGGAGTTCCTTAAGTAAATTCCATAGTTAATTTGGATATTATTGAAAAAAAATCTTTCAATTTTATAAGAAAAATACTTTACCCTTGACCAACATTAGTTTTTATTTTATTTTTAATAATAATTAATTTTATTTTAGACGATCTTCTGTATCCTTTATGTAACGATAGTATATTTCATGACGTCCCAACCCTTGGATCCCGCTAGATTTGGAATGTTTTTGCTGTCGTCCTTGTTAGTATCGTTCGTAGCCCAAAGTGTTGGACTCGTAGTAGGAGCTGCTATGAATGTTCAGGTAAGTTTTGCTATATATTTATGAAATGGTATATGTCTATTTTTATTTCTTGTCTACAATAATATGTTCGTCACACATGACCAACCAATACTTTTCCAAAACAGGATAACTCAAGTTGTTATAAACCTATATACAATTAAAAAGCATCAAGAAAATAGAAAAGAAATAAACATTAATATAAATGTCAGATAAGATTAAATTTTTTCATTCACTATTAAATAAACCACAAAAAATATACATATATATATATATATATATATATATATATATATATATATATATATATATATATATATATATACATATATATATATATATATATATATATATATATATATATATATATATATGTTAATATCGTCGCTTGGCAAGAATAGTGACATAACTAAAAAAACATCGTTTTGCATAATTGCAACAGGAAAGTTACTCAAACTGTAATGATTATTAGCATATTACTAAAATATTGATATGGTGGTATGGCTAAAATACTTGATAGCTTATATTATGAACTTTAATTTGACATGTTAAAATGGGTGGCTTTAAGTAGGTATGTTTCAAAAATTAAAAAAAAAATTAAAAAATTTTGACTTACGCCAATGTTCACCAAAAATTGTTCACTAAATTGCATATCCAAATTTTTCAGAAATAAATACATAACAAAGTGTCATGTAGTTTTAATTTATGAAATAATAAAACGTAACAGTACATTCAAGAAAATAATTCAAATAAAAAACAAGAATATGATTTAAAAAATTACAAGATAGGTATGTAACTAAAATCAAAACTTATCCAATTTCATTTAACTCTAAAGAAATAGCTTTTTAAAAATGAGTTTTATAAATTTGTATAAAATGAACTGTAGAATCTAGGAATGGTATTTTTTCTAACTAATTCCAATAATCCCTTCTTTTTCTTTTCGCATATTGTAAATTTTTGTTTGTAAACTTTCTGTAATGTCGGTTTGGCCGCATTATTTCTTACTTGCCTTGTTTTTGTAATATCTATTTTAACTTGTTTAAAAGATTGCGCTTCAAATGAAGTTTTATACTGAAAACAATTTTCTTCATCGGCAGCACACTTAATTACTCTTATTTCTGTCAGATTTACTTGCTCTGCTTCAGTATTTTTTGTGTAGTTCTTTCCCATTGTATCGGCTAAAGTCTTTATGTCTAAAAAATCGTCGTGGGTCAATTCATGAACTTGATACGGTTTTCCAGTTTTTTTAGCGTTTCGAATTATATTGACATACTGATCCATACGGTCCGGATTTAAGAGATTTTTGGACACATTTTTCGATAACCGAATGAGTACTGTCCCCTTCATTTTGGGTGTGTCCTTTAATCAGAAATTTATGTTGAATAGAATTGATGTGATCGAAATACTGAACAGCGTATATATATAAAGCAATGATATAATGATTTTTATTTTGACCACAGCAATTGTCTGAGTAGAAGATTATATCTAACTTTCGCCCTATATCATTAGCTTTCGGTTTTAGATTTTCTAAATATTTATATATACATGTACCAATCTCTATTGCTCCACGTTTTCCTTCAATTTCGTGCCATACAAAACAATCTGCCTCACCAGATTTTAAATTGTAAATCGTACAATTGTAGGCATTTATTTTAGATACATAGTAAAATGTAGATATATCTCCCCGTGGGCATGGAAGTGTAGCCTGTAAATCGTACACAGCGACAATGATATGAGGTTCGGTATTATTTTTATCGTTTTCTTTTTCGGCTCTGGATAGATCCTTTTCTTTTAAATGTAATTCAAAACTCTGTCTTAGTTGTTCTCTCACGTCCCCTGTCGAATTTTTAAATGCTTCGCAGTCTTCACACTGGTCTTTGGATTATGGAAAGCTACATTAAATTCGTGGTTAAAGATACGATTGTACATAATATAATTTCCAAACGGTTGCCCCTGCGCTTTACAATCAGCGACATAGTCTTGGTGTAAACTTGTAATAGATTTGCTTCCGTCAATATATTCTCTACTCGTACTGGCCCTGCAATAATGGCTCTCAAGTTATGGTATCGATTGTATATGTTTGCGTATACTTTCTTTTATGGATGCATCTACACATTTATGTTTGCCGTGTTTGCCTCGTTTGTCAGTAGATAATACGCCGGTTTCATTTTGTGAGCATTTATCAATGACAGTACGGATGGCTCTATCAGATATATCCAACGTTGACCGGAAGAACAATTTGCAAACCCTGATTTTGGTGTGGCCAACAGTCAACGAAAATGCAAAATTATTACCGTGATTACTCTTGTGGATTTTGTAAGAATATCGGGGTAAAATCTTTGTTATGTGCCTCGTCATTATAAATTCACGCTGCCTGTGAAGTTTCCCCATATCTCAGTAATTATTAAAAATTAATTGACGGTCTTCCTCCGAAACATTTTTTATGCAGTTAAATTTGCAAGTTTCTTTGCACGGTTTCTTTAACTTTCTGTCTGGCATTTCCTGTTTAGTCTTCGAATTAGGCTTATACGATTTTCCTAAATTTCTTAATCGTTTTGCTTCTGCACGTTTCCACTTAATTGGATTTGATTTTCTTTTGCGACCTTTCGTAATAGGTATTCTTGAACTAGAACTATTAGATAAAGTTGATGAACCCGATGAAGAAGATGACCCCGATGAAGATGAAGATGATGACCCCGATGAAGAAGATGAAGAACTTCGAGATCTGATTTGTTGCGGGATATTGTGTAGTAAGTTCACGAATTTGGGTTTATTTTTTTCTTGATCACTAGAAACCACATAATTTGGATCTTTGATACTATTCGGAGCACTGCGACACCTCATTATCTGAAAGAATGTCTTCATTATTATTGTTCTCAATGGTATTGGGTGATTGCAAGACAGTTCTTTTAGGCCTTGACCTACTTGGACTCGTGACTGGAGTAAGTATAGTATTAGTATCATCATTTTCCCTACTATCTTCTAACTGACTTAGTTCTTCTAACATTTTTACCATCAGTTTACCTCTATATGCCACCTCTATATACGTCTGAAAAGTAAAATAAAAGGAACATAAATGATAAAATATCAATCATGAGATAAAAATAAAATATAGCTGATCACTAATTTGCAAATCAAAAAGTTTCTGATTTTAATCTAATATTTACAACAATAATAAAATATCTGGCAGTAATTTACAAAATTCCTATATTTCATTGTAAATTTATCATGAATATTGACGTAGTGCGAAATATCTCATTATTTTACACAAAAACTTAAAATGTATTTAAGAATTTTATCATGAATACAGACATAAAACGAAGTGATCCACTATTTTAGTTAAGGCAATACTAGAAATTAAGTTATTTTACCTTTAATACAGTGACACTTCCAAATACACCACTATTGAGGATAACAATCACCTATATATTCTCCATTTAGCACAAAATATTTTGCGATACTGCAGTATTCACGAAAAATTCTAACAACTTGTTCAACTGCCCTGGCTCAACTAAATGTGCGTCGCTCTACGTGATAAACTTCGAGGCAAATTCAAGTGATGGTATAACGACATATGCGCGCTACGTGGCTAAAAGTAGAACTACGCCTTGCTGCTTTATTCACCATAAAATATATTGGATTTTGGAACATTTTACCTATATAACTCGATTTTAGTAATTTTTTAGTTATGCCGTTATTCATGCCAAGCAACGATATGTATTTTTGACTTGCTACAAACAATATTTGTATTTAAGTAGTTAAATAAATAACCTGTAAACTGTAGGCATATTTGTTGTAAAGTATTACTGACTTTTTTTCTTTATTTACAGAACGGTGTATTCTTAGCTCCAGTAATGTCAGTACCATTCCTTCTGTTCTCCGGATTCTTTGTATCATTCGATGCCATTCCCATCTACCTTCGCTGGATAACGTACCTGTCCTACATCAGATACGGATTCGAAGGGACTGCGCTTGCCACGTACGGATACAATAGACCAAACCTGGATTGTTTCGCTCAATATTGTCACTTTAAAAAAGCAAACACAACTCTCGAAGAGTTGGACATGGATAAATCGAGTTACTGGTTCGACATTATGGCTCTTGTTGTGATATTCTTCTTTTTAAGAATTTCCGCTTACCTGTTCTTGAAGTGGAAACTTAAATCAAACCATTAAGTTTAGGATATATTTAATAATGTTAAAGATTTTTTTATCCGTGGTTTTATATATAAAGGACGCAGGTTGTACATTGGTATCTTTAATAATGTTGTAATATTATGTTATATAATCAATATCTCATACCGAATTCCAAAAATACAGCTGTTCTTGCCAGAATTGTACTTAGCAGCTACATTTTTACCTTCTGACATATCTATAAATAACGTGATGCCTAGAATTAAACCTGTGTTCTTTTATTTATTCAGCTTTACATACTGGTGTCAAGGATATTCCAATAAAAAAATGGCCTTGGTCGGCGACGTTTCATCATTTTTAAATGTACTATTTTGCTAGTCCTGGTTCTATTTATATTTTCTTCAACGTACTATAAGCTAAACTTATTATGTTTTATACAGAAGTTAATATTTATAAACTTTTTTAATCCAAATCAAATATTTGATGTTTATTAGCATCTACAAAATGGAAACTTGATTAGATTCATTATTTTACGGCAGAAACAATATTATTTAGACCTCTCATTACTTTGGCTATACAGGTTACGATGTATTTTGCTCTATATGTCAGATGTCATCACATATCAATGTGATGACATTTGACATGTGGCTACATCGCGCATTTTTGTTACCTGTTCTTAAACGTTCCACTACTGTAAGATTAAGAGACAATTAAATGTAATATTTGTTTTCTAAAATTAAAGTCATGAAGGCAAAACTTCCCTCTATTGCACTTTTTTTTTTTATTTATTTAAATAACAAAGTAATTATAGTATTTTTGTTAAAACCTGCTTTGTAGCGCTAAATTATATCCTTTCCTTCTTCTTAATTTAAATGACTTACCTGAGATGAGTAATCGTGTAGTATGTTTACCGTGTTTCCGCATGTATTTACTCAGATAGTATTTTTCTCGGTGTACAATTACTTCCATTACACTGTGAGCCTGTTAAAAAAACGGAACGACATCTGTTGATGAAAACGAAGATCTACACATACTGTAACAATGTACTATCGTTGTAAATTAATAATTCAATTAAACTAAATCGCTGTTTCCTCTAAAGGTGAGTGATAGCTATGACTTTCAAATGGATTTCGGTAAACTATTTATTTATGTGACTATCTGCTGTGCAAAGGGTCGATAATTTGGTATTTCTTTTAAAGAATCATAAATATGCTATAAAGAAATTTATTATACACCTATATTTATAAACATTTTAGAATTAAATTCTCGTGTACTATTGTAATATGTGCCTATTTTCATTGGAACATCCTTTACATGTTATACACGACGTAGCGTATAATTTTGATAAAAATTCGGGTTATATATTTAGGAAATATTCGCTGCCGTAGATTTTTATACTCTTTGAGAATTTATCTGGCCATTTAGCCCACTCGGAAACATTAAATATGTGTACACTGCATCCCAATATTTTTCGAAGTCATTTTTAAGAACTGTATTATATATTTGTACTTAGTAATACAAGTCAATATTCCTCGTTAAATATAAAAATAATTATATGATAATATCAAGTTACGAGTTTCTTTACTACGTCCAAGACTTTTACAAAACCATTTAATAAAACCAAATAAACGAATTTCTTGTTAAAAAAAGTACTGAATCTCTTAAGAGGATTTGTTTGAGTGAGGCACTATATTTTTCTTGAAAAAAATTAAAAACGTTTTCTTAATATAGATATATGAATATTTTGTACATGTAGAGATAGATTTACTAACTAAATCAAATAGAGGTAACTATGGACAAAGATTTTGTATGTGATGGTGTAGTGATTTATATATTTTAGTAATATATCTACATAAATATTTATTGTTTTTCATTTATTTATGTACGCCCTAATTCCTAAGTATTATTGTTATTGTAAAAACTAAGTGCACAGTAAAAATAAACAATACCCATTCCGATCATTTTAGAACAGAGGCAGGTGTCAGGCAGGGATGCATAATCTCGCCAACTCTATTTAATATCTACAGCGAACACATTATGCAAAAGGTACTAGACGGATGGAATATCAGGAGGTCAAAATATCAGTAACTTGAGATATGCTGATGACACTTTAATAATCGCGGTCAATCAAGAAGAAATGGAAGACATAATGAGATGTCTGGAGGAGAAAAGCAAAACATATGGACTAAAGCTAAATAGGAGTAAGACAAAGATCATGATAATAGACAGAGCTCGGAATAATCTTCAACACATTAAAGAAATAGGAGGCTTTGAAGTAGTAAATAGTTTCATATACCTGGGGTCCCTAATAACAAATGACGGAAGGTGTGACAGAGAGATAAGTAAAAGGCTGACTATTGCTAGAACAGTTATGATTAAACTGGTAACAATTCGGAAAAATTCTAGGATAATACACACAAAACTAAGGCTGGTAAGGGCACTTATGTTTTCCATAGCCACATATGCATCCGAAACGTGGACCTTAAAGAAAGCGGATAAAAATAAACTAGACGCTTTTGAAATGTGGTATACCGCCGCATGTTAAGAATATCCTGGATTAATCATCGCACTAACGTATGGATATTAGAACAACTTAAAGTAAAGGATAGATTGTTTAAACAAACACAAGATATATTTGCAGTATTTTGGACACATTGCTAGAAGAACAGGTACCACCCATAAATTATTGCCAATTCAGAAAGAAGCTCACCATTTGTTGAAATGCGTTAATTGGCATGTAGCGGGGACATCTAAGATCGGCGTGCGACCGCGATGCAGAAGGAATGGGGGTGGCACCACCGCGAGCAGAAGTGACATCTTAGAGGCTAGACCGGTCTCGTCATCTAGAGTACTTGTTAACTATTGCCTGGTTCTGTATGTGTAAGGACAAAGCTCGTAGCTAAAAATGCTCCGATGTGGTCTCGGGATAGTTAAGGGAACTGTACTGTAATCAATAAATTAAGTTTTAAAACTGTCATTTTCGAACGTCGCATCAATTTCATCAACTTCTTCAAGTACTTTGATATTTTAAAAGCTTTTGTGCTTTCGGGAGAATTAAGGACAAGTGATTTTTCAGAACTTGACGAACGTAATATGAATCCGCTAATTTAAACGTGAGAATTTAAAAAAAGTAATGAAAATAAGTAAATTAAAATCTATAACTAAAGTCACATAATAAAATACTAAAAATATTAAAAATAAAATATTTAAATAAATACTTTTCCAAACAGCTGAAGATTCTGATATATGAAAGAATTCACACAAAGTTAATCTACAGGATTGAAACTTCACGAAATGAATATATTATTCTTTTCCCCCCTTATTCCTTTCCTGGGGGTTCCAGGTCTTCATACCCTTTCCTGCCTCTCCCTTTAATGATTCCCACCTTCACCCTATACTAACTCGCAATGGCCACCGCGGTAGAGTATGACTAACATCCAAACATGCTTGACACAACAAAAACCCTCAGGTTCCTCAGTCCCCGGCAGTGAGCTGATCCTTGGCTAAGGTAGCGATCAAGAAAGATATCAAACAGAGGGTGCGAAGAATCCCTGAAAATGGGACGTAGTAGGTATTTGCGAAGTGAAACGCGAAGGAGAGGAATATATAACTCTGAAATCAGGGGATCAATTTTTCTATATGGGAAGCAAAAATATGAGGTGTTGTAAAAACAATTTCCGAGTTGAAAACAAACCCAAGAACTTTATAAATAAGAAAGCTATGTTTCCAAAAATTGATAAGGCAAGTATAAATAACTACAAAAAGTTGCTCATTTTGAAAGCCAAAGTTGCCAAAAGACAGCTCTACCCAAATGGAGATATTTAAGCCTTTACTATAAGCCCAAGCTTTCAACATCACTTCTCTGTATGTGAACTTGACAAAAATGGGACAGTTATGTTTAGCAAGAAGGAGAAGGCAGTAAGGTGCCAAAGAAATTGGATCATACCTACTAAACTATTAGCTGCACTAAAGTGCAGCTATGAAAACTGATTTTGATGATTTGAAATTCATCTTCTATTCAGAATATTTCAACTGTGGTAGTCAAGGAGAAGACAAGTATCTAATTTATGTAACAGTATGCCCTAATTCATTATAAAATTGTATCTGTAACTTATCGCTATTTAGTTGTCTACCATACACAAAATTGGACAGATACCACTCTATAATAGAAAAAAATATCAAAAAAGGTTACATTACATTATGCTAATTCGGACTGCCCGATGTAAACAACCATTTTATGTCCACAAATTATCTCACAATTATCTTTTTGACTTAAGAAAGCTCAATACTAAAACAGCTTCAATTTTCAATGAAGATGTCAACGAAAAAACGATGAATTTCAATATTTCTGAAATGTATGTAAAGGAGAGCAATAGTACCCAGTTATTTCAAAACTTCATTTACACATGAAGGGTACCAATCAGTTAAGACCTGCATGGAAAAAACCGGAAAAGGTTTATAGAGCATGGATAGGATACTATGGACTATAACTGGAAAATGCTTACACTGATAGTTTACTAACAGCTGAAAAAGAAAAAAAATCGTATCAGCCATATTTATAACAAAATTATCTCACCAATTATCAGATTTGTAAAGTCACAAAGACCCCTCTGTGTCTCAGTGGTAAGAGCGCCTGCCTTTAAACCTAAAGGTCGTGAGTTCGAATCCCACCTGGGTGGAAGTTTTCATTTATTAAAAAAAAATTAATAAATGAAAATAATTTCTATCCTTGTGTGATCGGCACACACCGGAGGGACCGCAGACGTTCGGATACAATTAGCGTCTCTTAGCAAAGACAATGACGTCGACTTTGCTAAGTATCAAGACAATTACTCTACACACACACACTACACCTCAAATTGTAAGATTGGCGAATGGATTTAGTGTCCGCAGTCATTTAAACACAAACAAACAACAACAACAAAGTTACAAAGACTAAACTGGCTCAGTCACTTATAAAGAATGTCACAATAATCGAGCTGTAAAACCCAAGCAAATAGGATAAAAGAAAGGTCCCGTAAAAGCTGAATAGATTATGAAGAGGAAGATCTTAAAACCATAAACATCAGGAAGCGACGAATGAAAGTATCCGACACGGTAGAATGTTGTTAAGCAAGCAAAGATCCACAAAAGATTGTAGCGCCATTAGAATATTAAATACATTCTCTTAACCATCACTGAGTACCTATTAATTTATCCTTGTTTCAGGGACTTGTTGATGTGCTATACTGGCATAACTCAAAACAAGGGTTGAATTTAGGGATGTAAGTGAGATACTATTAAGTATTTAAGTGAGATGTTATTAAGTTTTTGAGTTGTGCCACTCTTGCATGCAGGCGACGATATCCTTCCAGAGAAAAATCATTTATGACTAAGTCAGCACATTGTGGAGACACTGAATCGTTTTGTTTGTCGATAAAATTTTGAAGGGGGCAAATTTGCTTTAAGGGATACTTGAATTATTCTCCCTATATCAATAAATTAAGTCCATTTTATTCTGTTCGGAATTAAAAAAAAAAGTGGTACCGTAGGCGGTACTGTTTACTCTAAGTCAATAAATCAAATTTGTCTTTTGGTTAAACTGTTTTTTCCATAGTGCCATATAACATCTTTTATACATTAATTAATCATGAAGACACTGTGTAGTGCCTTTTTGGCAGTCGCCTTGTTTGTTTTTTCTATCTCAATATCCTTTCCTTTCATTTAACATATTACATGCTCCAATCGGATCAATAACAAAGGCGATATGCTGTAATGTCCGCTTAGCAATGCCGCAATGTGTTTTTTCTGTCTTAATATATTCGCTACTTCCAATGATATACGCCACGATCCGACGAACTATTATACCCCACAACAAAACGCTAAAAAATGAGCAGAATGAACCTTAGCATTTTCTTATGGGATTTTGCATAGGAAATAAAGCAGAAACGGTATAACAGTTGATTTAATTTTATTTACCTTTATTTAGTTTTATTTTATTTTGGAAAAGCGTCGATGTTTGTTAACCACAATTTTATTTTTATAGTAAGTGTATGATTATCTTACCCAGTGACGTATGAATTATATTATACGTCATTGATCTTACCTTACAACTACAGCAACCTATATTTTTAGCAAAAAATGAATTACTGTGAGTAGTAAAATTTATGATTAACAATATTTGAATCCTCAATTTGTATTATGAATTAGCAATAAATCAACCGTATCATTTCAAGAACAAAAATAATATGGTCAAAATTTGATAGTTCAGACTTTTTTCCTAGGTGGCGTCGTTTACTTACTGGACAGACAGTGTGGCCTGTCATCATAGCCTTTTATATAGATAGACATACGTCATTGATCAACTTACCTTACAATTACAGTAACCTATATTTTTAGCAATTTTCGGAAATTTTTAGCAAAAAATGAATTACTGTCAAGTATACTCTAGTCGTCAGAGACGAAAATGCCACTCAACCTTTAAAAATCATATGAACAAGCTGAATTTTGCAGAGAATATTAATTTTGGGGCGCCAAAAAACATGCAAAAAAGTTTACCACTTTTATCTCCGGGATTCCTCCTAACCCACCCCCACCCCGTTTCAAAAATGTAGCTTAGATAATTTTAAACAAAAATGTTTATTAGCACTTTTTGTGTAGAATAAAATGTCAAATGTTGGTAGTTTAGATTTCTTTCCTAGATGGCGTCGTTAACTTACTAGACAAACGTTGTGACCTGTCATTATAGCCTTTTATATAGATAGATGGCTAGAAGTCTATTACTGTATATGTAGCTCTTCGGCTTACCGTAGTGATATTGCCGCGTGCCGTTAAGAAAGAGGATTTCTGTCTGTCTCGTTAGAATACCATGCTAAATAGTATATGTTCAGTTCTTAGCGTTTATACGCAGTTTTTTTACTGTGGACCTAATCCATTATATACCTTATTTATTAGAACAACCTCGTATCTGTAAAAAAATATTAAACACGTCCATTAACTTATTTATTAGGAAAGGATATAAAGGATGTGGTAAAGAATGTATAGGAAGTATAATTATCAATATATTTGAATAATCCTCATAAATTACTCTTCATTTGACTGACTTAATTGATGTAATAAAATCTTTTGTATAATAAAACATGTACAAGTTTTAGCTTTGCTGAATGCCAAGGGAGCAAGCACTTCCAAGCTGACGTCTTTGCTTTAACAGTTCATTTATATCGAAAATTCTCGTCTCATTTTCATATTAAATCGACATGAACAACACTTAACACGTATATTGCCTAATTGGAAAATGTCATTTATCAGTTATTTCAACATCACAAATCACAATAAGTAATCACTGTAAATTACTTTTCTAGTTAGTATTAAAAGTCTTTTGGCTAAGTTTTTGCTTGTGTATAAAGGCCGAAGAGACGTTGAATCTCAGTGAATGACCACTGGACTCTGCTGAACACAAACCATAGGACTGTCTTCTTGTTCGTTAGTCTTATTAGGGGGATTGTGCTTGGGGGGCGTGCTTTCCATTCTAGTTGTTGGATAGGGTACATACTGAAGGGATGGTGGCCCGTGATTTAACATGGAGGATTGAAACCGCTGCCGATGTATGTGACGAGACGGCGACGGGTCACATTCCATTGATGTGTATGCTGAAGATAGGTAGGTTTGTTCAGATAAATCCTTTGAACGACCGGCTAAGTTTAACCCTGCAACAGAAAAGTTATTTTCTTATAATATGAATTGCATAATATAATCAATAAGTGTGTTTAACAGGTTGATATCCATGTATAAACGAAACAATTGGCCCAAACGCCAAGCACATATTAATTACAAACATGCCTTTCTAAAATAATTACTCTATAGTTGAATAAAAAAAATTTCAGAGTAGTAAAAATTTTTCAAAAAACCGTTAGCTCGGTATATTTGCCGTTGGTGCTAGTGGTCGTCGTACTAGCGGTCGCATTATTCGACCATTTTTCTGCTTTTTAAACAGAGAAGTGGCAGTCGCCAGTTTACTCAGTCCAAGGATGCCAGGTCTGGGGATTTTTCCTCAGAACTGGGGACAATTGAAAATCTTTGGGGACATTTTTTTTAATGACTAGTATCTGGGGAAATCAAACTGGCTAAAATATGTTATTAAAATTATTATGAACCGCCTGTGTAGGTCCAGGGTACCCCGACTTACAAGAAACAAATAAAATAATGTCAAAAACAATTACTATGTATCGAGCTTCTGTCATATGTCATATAATCTGTATATAATAATAATTTACGGCATATGACAGAAGCGTTGAACACTCCTATGGCTGGAGATATATATATATATATATATATATATATATATATATATATATATATATATATATATATATATATATATCGGTAATCTACATGGCAGGCAACACACATCGCAACACGGATTGCATACATGTAGGAGAAGATTTATTAAAAACTAAATATATAAATCTGTGGAATTCTATTAAAAAATCTGGCAACTTTTACAACGCAATTTAGGGAAATACAGTTTTTGAGTCTCAGTCTAGCTTTGACTGTTGATTGATGTGCGTCTTTGTTGTGCAACAATGAGTAATCGAAGCAGAAAAATTGTCGAACTTGCTTTGAAATATGCTGAAATGTCAGGTAATAACGATATTCATTTTTGAAATAGATATATGAATCTTTTGAAGTCTACTGATTTTAATTTTTTTCTCAGTTCACTATATTTTGTATTTTTTATTATTTCAGGTGACGAATGTGACCCATTTACTTCACTTAATGATCTTGATTCTATGTTTTTGCCAACCAGTGATGAAGAAATATTATCCAGTTCAGATTTAAGGCCTAAGCAAATGTCAAACGCAAATTGCAATCAACTAAAATTATTTCAAAGAAATTAAGTACGAGGAATGTTTTGATTAACCAAGCTGTTCTACATCACTCTTGCCCGATGATGCCTCACAGGAAAAAATAGAAGATGCTGACGCTATAGCCAGCATTCCATTTGATTTTATAGCAACAAACGGCAGGTTATTAAAAGATTCATCGGAATGTTCGAGAACATACGTGGATGCAGCCAATTGGAAATCATCATGAATTTGAATACTCTGCAGTAGATGGATTACATGGCAATTACGCTGCAATACTTATAAATGATTTATCACATTATAAGTGTTTTCGTACTTTCGTTAATGATGAAATTATTGATGAGATTGTAAATCAAACAAACTTATGTACAACTTAAATATTCTGTGATTCCAACGATATAACCAATCATTCAAGACTACACAGATGGGTTCCAACCGATAAAAAAGAAATGATTAGATTTATTGATATAGTAGCTTCCATGGGCCTGGTAAAAATGCCTTCTTTGGAAAAGTATTGGACCAACGACGACCTATATAAAGTTGCTTCTTAGAATGTGGCACTTCTCAGATAATGAAAGTTGCCCAGAAGGAGATCGTTTGTTTTTAGGTCCAGCCATTGGTAGACATTTTTAAAAGGTTTATACTAAAGGTCAAACATTTTGTATAGATGGGTCTATCGTTCCATTTCAAGGACGATTGATATTCACACAAAATATTCCCCAGAAAACGCACATATACGGAGTAGAACTTCTTCTTCTTCTTTTGGCATCATAACCCTGGATGGGTCTTTGCCTGTCTGGCTATGTCCTTCCATTCAGATCTCTCTTGTGCCCTTCTTCTCCATTGTCTTATGTTCATTGTTTTCAGGTCGTCTTCCACGTCATCCAACCATCTCGTTCTGGGCCTTCCTTTTTTTCGCCTTCCTATGGGCTTCCATTGTAACATTTTCTTTGTTGTTTTTGCATCGTTTTGTCTCTGCACATGTCCCAGCCATGACAGTCTTTGACTTTTCACAAATCTTATTGGGACCGTGCAAGTTCGGAACAGCGACACCTGGTGTCGTAAATCAGCCAAATTTACTGCGCTTTCATGTTAGATCGAGGTTACCGGATAACTGTCAAGGACGTGGCCCCAAAAAAGAATAAGAAGAAAAAGTAAGATTGAGGTTATGTCGGTATGTTATTAAAAGGTAAACGTTGATGTAGCGTAAATACAAATAAATATATTATTGAATTACAGCATTACTGTTAATATAGATGCAATAATAAAAACTGGATTTGAGAAAGTAAATCACCAAATAACTTTTCAACCAAGCACGAGTCAAAGGGAAAAGCTTTAGTAGTGGCAAATGTCAAAAAAGAATGGAAGAATTATGTGAAGTGGAAGAATTAAGAAAAATAAATTACCATAAATAATGCTAATGCATAAATTAGCAGGTTAAGCCCATGATATCATCATATTGGTTTGAACAATTAATTCTTTCCCTGTAAACTTTTGGACAGCGAATATATCTTAATGCATCTTCAGAGAAACTTGAACTTGATGCATTTTTGTAAACTTCAAAAAAAAATAAAATTCAAACATTAAACTTGATTTTTGGGTTAAAATGAACTCTAAGTGAGTGTTATGAAACTAAAATTTACACTTAAAAGTGAACTTTTATTTATTATTTATTTCAAACTGACTTTAAAATCGGGCGCAAGAATATTGCATAATTTAGGTTATGTTACTTATGCTTTTTTATGATATAAATCCACTTTTCTCTCTGTAGTAGCTTTGTGCTTCGAAGTTGGAAACGAATAAAACTTAAATTGACAATTTTTTGTTGTATTTTTACAATTTATAACACAGCATTTCCTAAATCCCATTTTCTTCAGTGACAGAAGGTGTAAATAAAAAAAAACGAATATGAAATATGACAATTGACATTGAATTTATGAAATCTATAATCTATGAAATGTACAGTAAAAAATGCAAAATTTCTCCACTACTCGCGCACGATCGTTTCTCGTATCCCTTCCAAGTACTTGCACGTCGCCAATAATGTCATAACCTTCATTTAACTCATTAACCTCGTCGTTTCTCCTGATTCTCCATGTGCCATCTTCCTCTTGTACCGGGCCATATACTTTCCTTAGTATTTTTCTCTCGAATGTCCTGAGTTGGGCTTCATCTTTTTTCGTCATTACCCAAGTTTCACATCCATAGGTTACTACGGGTCTAATCAGTGTTCTGTAGATAGTCATTTTGGTTCTTTTGTCTAATAATTTCGATGTCATCAATCTTTTATTAGCATAGTTTGTACGATTCCCGCTGTAAATACGTGCATTAATTTCGCTACTTACGGAGTTCTTCTGATTGATTTCTATGCCGAGATATGTAAAGGCATCCACTCGTTCGATAGTATAGTTGTCTATTGTGATATTATTTTCATTGTCAGTTATTCTTTTGACTGTCGTATACTTCGTTTTTGCTTCGTTTATTTTGAGACCTCTTTTTCTTGCTTCAGGATCAATTTGTTTGAATACTTCCATTAGTCGTGGCTTATTCCTACTAATGATGGCTACATCGTATGCATATGCAGTAATTTGTACTGATTTGGTGTTTATATGGCCGGTTATATTGGTTTTTCTGATGACGGAGTAGAACTTGCATTATGCAATTGTGCGGTGGCAATGGGTACACATAAAATTTACGAATATATGCTGGAAAGGAAAAAAGGAGGTTGAAAAACCTAAGGCAATAATTGAATATAACAAAGGAAAGTCATCTATTGATCAATCTGATCAGATGACCTCTTATAATTCATCGTTACGAAAATCACTAAAGTGGTATCAAAAACTAGCGATAGAATTCATTCTGGAGACAGTGGTTGTAAATTCTCACAAAGAATACAACCAGCTAGCCGACAAAAAAGTACAACCTACAGCGTTTCGAGAAGAATTAGTGAGAAACAACACAAACAACATCAAAGAGCACAAATTCATAAATTGCTTAAAAAATGGGACTTTTAACAAAGCAAAAAAAAAATATTGTAAAAGCTGTTATGCAAAAAAACTTCGTGGAGAGATATCCAAAAATGATGTAAAAAAAGTTATGACCTATTGCGGTATCTGCGAGGGCAAGCCTCATTTTTGTTTAGATTGTTATAATATGCATTCGAAGTAGTTATATTTATTTGTTTATAGTATACTGTGGCCTTTTTCTTGTTGTGTGTAATAGAAGTACATTATTTTTTATTAAAAAATTAAAAAATGAAATTGCAGTTTTCTTCAATATTTGTCTAGCAATTATATAAGTCGCAATTATATGCGAGCCTTGTATGCCACAACCGTCGTATACAGTATCTCAAACCATTCTAAATACGACCGCTGGCAAATATAGACCTAAAATTTTGTCGGGTACTGGGAAAATTACGAAGCGGGCGTACAGCCCGGCATGGCAGTCAACCTGTTAATAATCTTTTAACAATATACATATTAATTTTTACAAATCTAAACAAAAGTGGTATGTATAAAAATTTAAAAACTAAAGAACAATTAAAGATTGGCCAAATGCAAAAATAATGTAAAATCTATGCAGCGAAAAGAACACAAAATTGCATTTTACATTTACTACTTTACATCGCTTACTACATAGAAGGTATGATACACTTGTTTTGACTGCTGTCACAAGAATTCCTGAAAATACTAATAGCATTAAGAGAAGTGCAGGAAGTAGCATGTTTGCATGTGTTTTGGATTCACTAAAATAAGCAGTTAATCAATATTCATAGTAGAGTATAAAATAATGTTATTAGACAAAGCATTGCAATTGATTTAGAGCAATCTTCTCAAACTTCC